ATATTAATAGATATGTATAGAAACATTCGTTCTATCACACACATCTTGGTATTACATATCATTTTTGTGTCGGTATACGTAATATTTTAGTAAATAAGTTTAAATAAAAACGAGGGTAAAGATAAAAATACTCATAACAAACTTTGAATAAATCGAAATCAAAAATAATGAACGATCGAGCAATACAATACTTATATAAATATAGTGCATTCTCATTGTATTTTTATGTTACTGAATGATATACAATATTTCGATGTTCTCATCTACGGCGCGCTTGGCGCAATGGTTATCGCCTCCAGTGGTCAAGTAAAGTGCCACCGGATCGATTCCAGCATTCACATGTTGTTTTAGTATTAATTAATCAAATATTTGAAATGTGAAATTAGAAACAATTAAATCTTTTCTTTTTTTCCTATCCTATTTTTCTAAATCTTATGTTAATTTTAATAGTAAATACTTTAGATTTATTTATACCTATAATATCCTTTATTTATATTTTAGTTCTAGTTATTTATTATTTAGAATAATTTAGAATGATTGGAAGAACTTTAAAGTTAACATGTGGTATATAATTAATTATTAGATATAAATATTGAATATAAAACCACATATTTGTATAATTAATAAATTAATTTTAATAAAAAATAGTATTGTTTTATTTACCGACTGATTTGCTTCTTTTATAGCCTGATATTTATATTATATGACAAAAAACAAAAAAAAAATAAATAAGAAAAACAACAAGGTAAAATAAAAAAAAACTTTTAGCTGGAATAGAACCCACATCATCATTGATCCTTGAAAGACGATAAAAGCGTACTCATTAACCAATCGACCACGAGCACTACGATAATTACAGTGAAAATGTCGGGTCATATCAATGATTGTAAATAGTTTTAACCTTACCCATGCATTAAATTATAAAAATACGTATACCGACACAAGAATGAAAATACCAATGTGAACGTGGTGGACGAATATTTTTATACACAGTAATATGAAATTACCCACACATGTACATTGTGTAAATGACAGTAGTGTCGATGTGAGCGTTACGAACTAATTAGCGGTGCTTTGTGTACATA